CACTTCAGAAAGCACTTGGAACCCATCTCGACATGAGCACCTCTTATCACCCACAAACGGATGGTCAAAGAGAACGAACCATCCAGACGCTCGAAGACATGCTTCGCGCATGTGTGATAGACTTTGGGAAGTCTTGGGATACCCACCTACCCTTAGTTGAATTCTCGTATAACAACAGTTACCATTCGAGCATCAAAGTCGCTCCTTTCGGAGCACTATATGGACATAAGTGTAGATCACCGTTGTGTTGGGCTGAGGTGGGCGACACCCAGCTAGCAAAGAAACTGGCATCGGACAAGGCGTTAACGGGACCGGAGATCATACGTGAAACCACGGAAAAGATAGTTCAAATCAGAGCTCGACTACAAGCATCGCGCGACCGATAAAAGAGCTACGCAGATAAACGACAAAAGCCCTTAGAGTTTCAGGTTGGGATCGTGTGCTGTTAAAAGTTTCACCTTGGAAAGGGGTCATTCATTTCGGAAAACGGGGAAAACTGAACCCACGATACATTGGACCTTTCGAGATCGTTGCCCGAATAGGTCCAGTGGCGTACAAACTGCAGTTACCCGCTGAGCTAAGCAGCGTACACCCCATGTTCCATGTTTCCAATCTAAAGAAGTGCCTATCAAATGAAACTCTCGTCATTCCCCTTGAAGAGATTGAAATCAACGAGAATCTCTTGTTCGTTGAAGAACCAGTCGAAATCATGGATAGGGAGGTGAAGCGTACTAAACAAAGTCGCATCCCGATCGTGAAAGTAGGGTGGAACGCGAAGCGTGGGCCATAATTCACGTGGGAACACTAAGACCAAATGAAGCAAAAGTACCCTTACCTATTCTAGCATTCTCAAATCTATCTTTCAAAAGAATTTTGGGACGAAATTCCCTCTAACGGGGGGATGATGTCACAACTAGAAATTTTAGTGCCTTGTAACTACAACACTTAAGTCAAATCATGAATCAAAGACATAAGAGCATGTATGATGCATACTCTATGACAACAAAATTTCAATCAAACACACCATGCAAGCATTTCAAGTAGTCAATAAGCAATTGGAAACCCTAGAAGTTCTCGTTTAAGTTAATTTTGGACTAGGACTTCCTTATTGGGCCCAATGGACCAATAAGCTTCCAATTTGACCACCTTGGGCTTAGAACTCTTAAATGGGCTCTAATTGGACCCACTTCCATTTATTTCAATATTTTGGGCCATACTAGGCCTAGAATGAAATAAATTAATTATATGAACCATTTTGGGCCATAATTAACCTAACTTAGCCCTAATAGGTCATAAGACTCACATTTATGATTATTTGGACCAAACATCACTTAACATAACCATGAAAAAGGCTTAAGCATACAAGGCCCAAATTCTTTTCTCTTCCTCTCTAATTCTCGGCCCAAGCCCAAAAGGAGAAGAAGAAGTTGACTTTTGCATGACACCTCATCTTTGCATGGAAGATATCTAGGTTATTACACTTCAAACATCCATGCCATCTCATGTTTTCATGCAGCTCACTTCAAAAATCACTCTTCTCTCCTCTCTCTCCTGCTCTCGGCCGATTCCAATCACACGCACACACATACACACATTTATCTCACAAATCTCTCAAGGAATCTCCCTCTACTCTTCATCAAGTTCTCGAAATTTAGAAGGTTTTTCAAGAAGATATTTCCACAAATTCTTCATCTAAGGTATGATCATGCTTGGATCTATGATCTAGGTTCTTTGTTTTATCAAAAATCTCTTTCTAATCAATGCAAAATCATGATCACTCTCTTAGAAACCCTCTAAATTCGAAATCATCAAAGGAAGGCTTGTTAGCGCCGAAAACAACATCAAGCTCCTTCCAATCTTCTTCAAAACCGAAACTACAACTCAAGGCCCAATAAGCTCCAATTTGCGAAATTTTTAAATTTGAGGGGTTGGAAATGTAACTTTCTATAAAATAGGGGATTTCAAGTGTATTAAAACCATTTCAAAGGTCAAAAATGTTTTTCAAATTCAAAAGGAATCAAAAATGCAAAACTTTTCCATTTTGGGCCAAAACTGTAAAAGTTGCGAAAATGGGTGTTCCAACCGAGAAAACTTCATTTTTGAAGGACTTAAGCTGTTTACAAAGTAAATTTGGGTTGAAAATGTCTTTTCAATAAGTTATGGTATTAAAGTGTCAAGAAAAAAAATGTTTTGAGGACTAAAATGGAAATTCTTTTATATAAAGAATTAAAAGTGCAAATTTTAGCAAAGAAGGGTCGTGAAAAGGTAAAATCTTACTTTTAAGCAAATAAACCCCTTAAGACAAAATGCGAGATCCACGACTACCGGCGAAACGTAATAACAAATACACTTTCAACACCAATATCGTTACCAAACGAATTGATTCGGTCTCGAATCAATAACAAATCAAAAATCAATAAACAATAGTACTTCAATAAACACGTGGAAACTACGAGGAGTCAATATTCAATCTTTGGACTCGAAAGTTTCAAATCGTGCTTGTTGCCTTGCTAGCCTAATAACATGATCTTTAGGACCGAAGGGAACGCGCTTACATGTTATTGGGCCTTCTATGACCTAATTCCATGTAAAAGGACTTTCAATAGCTCTATTGTTCTGTTGGGCCCCAAGGGTCCATTGGTACTGCTAATGAAGTCGAGAAGTCAAATGCGAGTCGAGCCAAGCACCTTTCGCATTCCCGATAGCCTTGAACAACTTATGGAAATAAAGGGGGCTTCATACCCTCCTTTCTCCTCGGTTGTGGGGCTATGAGAAGTCAGGGTGGTTGGATTAAGTGAGTAATACGGACGACGCCTAAAGGATCGTTTGTAATTGGTAGTTATAAACTAGTCATTTTCATTAATGCGTGATTATAACAACTCACAACCTATAATTAATCCAATGTCACCTGGGTAATCAAAAACAATCGTCGTATCGGTATAACAATAAATAAGACACGTAATTTTATGTATTGGGAATACATCGGGTTTTCCCGGGGAGTTCAACACTTTTACTTATGTGATGTATACAAAGTTCAACAATTATACATGTTTACAAAAATTGACAAGCATACTTATGGATCTTCACACTTTTTTTTATAAACAATACTCTTTTATGAATATATCGGATATTCTGGGTTTTTCAAACTTCACAGAAATCATTTTTCCCAACATTACTTATGAACTCACCAACATTTCATATGTTGACGTTTTTCCAAAATACTTGTATTCTCAGGCAACACGTGAACCGAAGCATAAGTACCAAGTGATGTCATGGTGTTTTGCTTAAATTTATTATCAAACGGTTTATGTTATGGATTTGTAATGTTTAAAACAATGTACCAAATGTAAACAATATCAGTTGTAATATTTCAATGCATGGTGATAAATGATGTTATGATTCATGTATAATCATTGTGATTGTATTCAATTAAGTCACAATAGCCCTCAGACGTTTCCACCGTCTGGTTCGGGGGTGTGACAGGTTATTTTAGGAATCACTTACTTGAGATCGGCTGATTGCATACATCACACCCCTTTCTTTAAAAAAAAAACCTTTTTAGAAAATCGTTTCTTTCAAAAGATTTTATTAACCCTCAGTTTGGGTTCAAACATAGCATAAAATGTGTTCAAATCCCTCAAACCAAGACTCTTATACTAACTTGTAATGTCCCAACAAAAATACTAAGTAACAAATTTCATTTTTAAACAACAAAACCATCATTCATTCGATCTGAAAGATTAATCAGAGTATATTGTATTCTCAAAACATTAGTAATAAATCATAAAAGATAGTGCAGAAAACTTTGGGGGATGCAATTCGATCAAGCTAAACCCTTCCCTTTCAAACCAGAAGTACCTAAAACATTTAAACATAAACAATAAGCACAAATATTAGCGAGTTCACCAAAATACCACATACTATACATAATATAATTGGTTTATTTTAACTCCAAATAAATGTTGTGGGCCAAATCATAGTCTTATAGTCACTTCCTACCATAGGCCAAATCATGGTGTTTTCATATAAGTATCATGGGCTAGATCCTAATCATTCATATATTTTCCATGGGACATATCATGGTCTTTTAAATAAGTTCTAGGGCTAATTCCTGATAAGACTCACGTTAATCACTCGTAACAAGCTACACCACTGCTCGTAAGCTTGGAAGGCTAGTGTTACACACCACCTAAAGAATCACCCAAGGTCAACCCTTAATCTACACTCTAAAGCTATCAATTTGATCAAATGTTAACCAAGTCAAAAAGTCATCGGTCAACGATTGAAAAGATACACATATTTGATTAGTGTTTAACTTAGACTGCATATTTATATTTAATCTAGGACATTGAAAAGATACATATATTTGATTAGTGTTTAACTTAAGACTAGGAAACAACCAATGTAATCAACCCACTAAAGTTGAGATCACTGCTTATATCTACACAAAAACATGTGTATTTTGGAGTAATATACCGCATAGATCCTTCAATTCACTTCAATTTTCATCCACTAGAAACTGATACTTGAAAAAAAATCATTAACGAACTTATTTTTGTAGTATTCGAAAGCTAATTGGGGTTTAAATAGTAATAAACACAATACACAAACAAAGACAAAGGTATATGTTATTTATAGAGGAACAAGGAAGCTACAAAGAACCTATTTTAACAGTTCGGAATGACTGTACATTCCAGATTTATATATGGGATACGTTTTTTCCAGTCCGGAACATACAAGTGATTCCAGACTAGAATCTAACAACTACCACCAACTCCAAAATTTTCATAAGTACTCTAGAATACAACATTTCCAAGTAAATAGACATTTTATAAATTGCATAAAAAATTAGTTATTTCTTTCTAAATACTTCATTTTTTTGGTTATCAAATAATACATATAATTTAGTCGATATGTAATGTTAGCCCAACTTATATGGGCTGGACCATGAAGGCCCCAACATTAAAACATGGGACAACAAGCAACCGACTACCTTCCTCGTTCAGTCCTCCCCTTTCTCCTCGGTAATGGAGTCTCCAAACCCCGCTTCCTCTGCAACCCCCAATCCCTTCGCCTTTTTCCACCAACATTTTCAACGTCTAAGCTCCGACATCTCTACCCGTGTCGAAGAAACACGGCGAGGAATCGCCAAAAACCTTTTCCCATTTCAGCCACGTAAGCCCCATCGTTGGTCATTGCCTTTTGCTTCGTTATCACAGCAGCAACAAGACGACAACAATCTTCGCAGCGGAAAACATGTGTTTGACTTGGCCCTAAGCACTGCCAATGTATCGAAGACGCTTGCTGGAACAGAGCTGTACACAGTCAGCAATTCCGATAACGAATTCGTCCTAATTTCGGATCCTAATGGACTCAAATCAATTGGGTTACTCTGTTTTCGTCAAGAAGACGCCGAAGCATTTCTTGCTCAGGTATAAGTGTTCACGTCTGTGAGTATGCGAGGTTGGAACTTAAATTTGTTCATTGTATATATACATGTGAATTGCAGGTTCGATTGAGGAAAAGGGAGTTAAAAGGGCGAGCAAAAGTTGTACCAATTGCACTTGATCAGGTGATTATTATATAATCTAGGCTTTGATTTTTGAGTGAAAACATAATTACCACTGTTAGAACCCCATTTGATTGATTACATTAGGTTAAATGGGTTTGTATAAGATTGAAGATGAAACCATGTATAGAAATTATAGCATAATATGATCCATCTGTCGTATGTTTAATCTTCAATTTTTACTATATCTGTCCAATCTTTATGTGTAGGTTTATATGTTGAAGGTTGAAGGAATTGCATTTCGATTTTTGCCTGATCCTGTTCAACTTAAGAATGCAATGGAGGTTTGTTCTCTTTCAAGGCACTCAAAAATCAGTATAACATTGTCAACTTCATTTAAATCAATTGTAAATTATGGGTATTAATTATACTTCCTACATAATTTTGTTGTGGTGATTAATTAAGAGTAATTATTGATTGATTATAGTTGAGAACTTCTACTACCAAGAATGGGTTTGATGGAGTCCCTATTTTTCAGGTATGAGAATTTATTTTTTTGGATATTATCATATAGTAATATAATTATATTTCCTTACCTATATAGTTTATGTTTGGCAAACTAGCTGAAAAGCTAGCCGGTAGCTGAAAAGCTAGCTGACAAAAAATGATATTTGGTAAAAAGTAGTTGATAAGCTAACATTATAATTAATTAAGAGTATATTAGATAGTTTTAGAGAAAAGCTAGCTTATTAGCTACTTTTTGGCTTGCCAAACATGACAATTTAAAAAACCATGAAAAATAAGTTGGCTTATCAGCTAGCTTTGGTTTCCAAGTATTAGATTCCATATTTCCATTATTGGAAAGGAAAAGTAAACTTATATTTGATTATTTTGTTTCATTGCACAGTCGGATCTCCTAGTTATAAAGAAGAAAAACAAACGTTACTGTCCTATATATTTTCGAAAGGTTCGTGTTTGACTATTTGACCTTTTTAACATCCCAAAAACAGCAATCTACTTTAATCAACTTGCATATATGCAGGAGGATATTGAGAAAGAGTTGTTAATGATTCCACGAGGACCAAAAGGACCCGCCATTTCACAACATATCATGGTATTATAAAATTTGTTACATTTTAGTCCTTTTTTTAATTTTTATTCTTTACTTAACTTTCATACTTGTTAAAATATTTATTTTATCAATTCTTGTGTCAAGAATGATGTTTCTATGTCGTTTGTAGGTGGGATGTTTGGAAGATGTTTTGAAAAAAATGGAGGTAACTTTTTACTTGTTGCTAACTATAATGTTTCCAGATTCATTTTTTCCTTTTTTTTTTTTGTAATAAAGATTATTTAGCAAGTTAACATATGTTTATGGGGTGGCAGATGAGTGAGAAAAATTCCGGTTGGGAAGATCTAATTTTCATCCCCCCTGGTAAAAGTCAATCGCTACACCTGCAGGAAGTTGTAAACGCGTGAAAAAACATTTGTTCATTTTTCATAATAATTCAAGATCAAAAGCATGCCCAATTTTAGCATTTTTCTAGTCTTGTTGAAAAACAGGTAATTTTGTCATTCTTCTTTACTCACTTGCTGCTTTCTAGTCCCAAAAAGGACATGACATGATGGACTATGTACTGCTATTGCATGCATTGAACTGGGACTGATACTGATACTGATAATAGACCAAATGGATTCATTCCCTCCTTTTGACAATGAGTAGAAAGCTGAAGATGTAATTTTAATGCAAATTTTATCATTTTGTTAAGGTAGTGAATTGCCATGTAGAAGATAGTGACAAGGATGATGATATCACCAGAAGAAGATGTATTTTGTATTGGAATCTTGGTTGTGAATGAAAATCATAGTATTTGAATCCTTATTATTATTATTATTATTTTTCATTTTTTGATGTTATAATTTATGAAACTATGTATGATGAGTCTTAAGAGTTGCACGTCACATCCTCAGATCGGTTCAGATTTATCAGATATTCTATAATCTGTAGTTATATTTTAAATCTTCTAGATGATAAAAACAATAAAACGTGGATAATAAAATTTTGATTCCCTTCCACACAAAATCATGACCTTGAAACCCTTTATATGAGAGAAAATGAAAAGGTATTTTTTGAGGAATGGAGTAGTAATAAATTAAAAGATTTTGATTGATTCAACTTAGATGTTTCAAAAGGGATAATGACTTAAGAGGGTAATAAGGTTTTCAGTTTGTCCGTATTAGGCTACTAAGGTTTTTTTTGTACGTATTAGATCAATATGGTTGTTATTACCATTTAGAAATAGTCATTTTTACCAGTTTTAACTGATAAAAATGATTATTTCTAAACGGTAATAACAACTATATTGGTCTAATACACACAAGAATACCTTAGTGATTTAATGTGAACAAACTGGAAACTTAATTACATTCCTAAGTCATTAATCCTAATTATTTAGAAAACATGCTTACTAATCAATGTGATTGATTTGTTTGACTGAAAATAGTTGCTTCCATTTAAACTTATTTCACAACCTTTTCAGAACTTCTAAGTCCAAAAACATATATGATTGATGATCTTCATTACATAAATATGAAACATTTTATTAATAACTTCTTTTTTGTCATTTAAATGTTTACATGAACACATCCATATGTACAAATACAATCTCACTTTGATACCTCCCATCAATGTCTACATTTAATAACGAATGGAAATGTAAAACCAATAAGGACTTACAGAGGATGTTTATTATCAATTATTTTATAAAAAACAAAACAACAACATGAACTAAGAAACTGAAGTTGCAAAATTAATCAAAAATCAGCACATAAACAAACACATACAGACTATATACAACACATAAACGAAAGGTTATAAAGCATGAAACTTAATGACAGGAAAACTAAAAAACTTAAAGGAGACTTTATAAAAAGAAAGATCACCCTTATTTGCCACAAATGGTTGAAGACATCAACAATAAGATCAATCTGACCATGGAATCCATATGTTGTCTGATCATAACTTCAATAGATGAACTACTGAAACGTAAGAATTGCAATTGAACTCTATTAGCATTTGAAAATGAAATTAGGGTTCCAGAGAAGACGACGAAAGGTTTAAAAAAATTGGACCATTTCTCGATTTGTGTGTGTCATCCTTGCGCAAGGATCATGCTAATCTTCTCTGTATCGTTCCAATTTTATCGGATGTCCCCAAAGGGACGACTATAGATGAAGAGATTCGCCATATAGAGGAGTAGCAGGTTATATGAGACGATGCGAGTTCTAAACGAACTAGTTTACTGTTGATGGTTATATATTCTCAATGTCTTTAAATTTAGGGTTAATGACTTAGGAGGGTAATTAGGTTTCCAGTTTGTCAATATTAGGTCACTAATGTTTTTTTTTTTTTTTTTTTTTTTGTGCGTATTAGACCAGTATGATTGTTATTAGCGTTTACAAATAGTCATTTTTACCGGTTAAAACCGATAAAATGACTATTTCTAAACGGTAATAACAACCATATTGGTCTAATACGCACAAAAAAACCATAGTGACCTAATACTGACAAACTGGAAACCTAATTACCCTTCTAAGTCATTATCCCGTCTCAAAACCTTTTAAAAGGTTTTGATGATACGTCAAGATATTCTGGTGTTAGAGTTTGCCTAGTTAGTATTGTCCACCATGGAATTCTTTCTATTTTTTTGAACTACACACCCTCTAAACTATGATCTTAAGCTATTTTTGGGCATCAAATAGTTATTTATAACAGAGTTTATATGTTATAAACAACTTAAACATGTTTTTCTAGCTTTGCTGAATTTTGGCATATGTACAAATCATGATAATGCATATATATATATATATATATATATATATATATATATATATATATATATATATATATATATATATATATATATATATATATATATATGGCCCTCTCTCATTCATGAAATTAAAACAAGGGTTAATCTGGTTTCCGCCCTACCCCGGAAATATTTAAACAAATACCTCAAACAGGAATGGGGTTCCACAAGAATTTTTGACATCCCTATTGGAATTAGCCATTTGACATTGTTGAGGTTCGTTTAGATTAGGATATCCTCTTACCACCTGTTGGAAAGGCTCGAGTTTATGTTAATTTCTTTAAGGTGGGTTTCATTTATATCTTTTGGTTGCACGTTTGTTTAAGACAAATTTTGTTGTGAAGATGTTCAAAGAAGACAATATGCCGAAGTTGGTCTTACCAAAGATGTAAAGTTGCTTAAAAGATATTTTGGTCACCAAAGTAGTTGGTAGAACTTATTAAGCTTTTCAGTATAGTTTTTATTTGTGTGGATTATTATGCTCCTATTTGTAATTGTATGTTAGCTTAAGCACTTAATTTTGCTTAGTTGACAGTCTTCACATGTATTATTATGATTAGACAGACTTCACCATTATGTGTCTATATATAGGTGAACATCTGTATGAGAAGTTAACAATTTTTAGACTTTTACATGCTTAGAACGTATGTGTTACTTTAGCTATCAAATTGTAATCTTCTCATGTTTAATCAAAGAGCTTAAATGTTAGTATCTACATCATCCTATTCTTGTATTTCATACAATGTATGATTTGTCTTCAAGTATAATGCTTATCAAGTGGTATCGGAGTAAACATCATTCATCTTTTTTGGGAATTTCTTTTGTATTTCATTACATATTTGAACTCTTTTCTCAAATCTCTTTTCCGCTTTTGAAATCTAATTCTTTGAAGTTGTTTGAAGATTTTGATCACGTTTTCTCATAATTTAGTGAAAAATTTCAATATATCTACGATGATTAACTATGCTAATCCTCTTGGTTTTTCGACCAAAACTCCAATGTTACTTTTTGATCATTATGATCAATGGGGAGATCAAATGGAAGACTATTTGGCTAGTTTAGATGAAAAATATGTGGAGAACAATCAAATAAGGTCTATTCAATCAAAATGTTGTTGGTCTAATTTGTCTTGGAATCGATAACGAAGTTGTTGCTGAAAATAAGAAGAAAACGATAATGATAAAAGATGCATGTGTGGATTATGTGGTGGTGTTGGCTTTTTATTCAAAAAGTAGTTTCGAAAACCTAAGATTTAGCTGTGGAAGACTTTATAATTTTAGAATAACATAAACTAGTTTGAACCCACGAACGATCTTCTTACAATGTTTGGAAAAAAAAACATCAACGAAATAAGAAATAAGAAGATGACAACCTTTGTCGTCCATTGAATCGTCAAGGGGAGGCTTGAATGTTGATGTAGAATGTGAAGTACTACTTCACCGTAGATGGAAACACCAACAAGAACTCAACTTAATAAAGATGCTAGTCAAAACTCTTAAACTTTAAGTTCATATCGATATACGACATAAAGAGATCAAAATGCAAGCAAGTAATATTATAACACTTCTTTGCAAGAGAGAATATAATAGAGTATGAGGGAGCTACGGTTTTGGTCACCAAAAAATAAAAGGGATTAAAGCCTTCATAACGCTAAATCATTACCCAGGAGTTCTTAACACTTTAAGCACTCCATACCATAAAGGATACATGTCTCACATTCCTCTTAATCCATGCTACTTTCCCTTATTATACTCAAAAGATCATCTCTTGTTTCCTAGAAACCAACTCACATTTTTATTTATTTATTTATTTATTTGTATAAAATAGAAAAGAAGTTTATAAAATTCTTGTAACTCTTTATAAGATATAAAATTTAACTTTTAGCTAAAATACAAAAGAGTCTTTCTAGTCCAAAATAGTGTACATGGATTAATAAATCATGCCTAATGATATATTATGTTAGTTGCCTTTGAAAATTAATATTCCCATGAAATGAATAATTTCCAATTAGTTATAAGAGTTTATGAATATTTATTGAAATCGATTTCTAATAAATAATAAGTTGTATCAAGTTGTTCTTAGTGTGACCCTTTAGGATCATGTATTATCTAGCAATATCATTCTATAAGGACTCTCGGGCATATAAATATTTCAATCTCCCACTTGCACAAGACTCATTATAGATTGATATAGAAAATAGTGAACGTCTATCAACATTCACTGCCCCTAGTAATATATGACTTTGTGCCATTCTATCAAAATCTAATTCCCTAAAAGCTTAAAGGTATAATTGGTGTATAAGGTAAGTTATCAGTTATCCTTTGTCACATGCATCATGTTGGACATAAGATACATATCGCAATCAATCTCATTTGGTGTTCAACTTTTGGTAAGGCATGTTAGATGTCTAAATCTAAACACATAATAGGAATGAATCTCATATTGACTACATAATTCTCTTGCATAGTTCATACCACACCTAAAAATGGCCTTTATACTTCCCCGATTAAGTATCAATGTTTGACCACATCAAAGCATAACACTCCCTACACTTAAGTCCCACTATGTATCTTAGGTATTAAGGATACAAAGATAGTACCTTTTATCAAGTGTCACTCACGATAGCGATCCATGAGGTGATCTTGATGCGGGTCAGTTTAATATCATTTCTCTGAAAAATACCTACAAATCTTGGTTACAGCCACTTGCCTACTTTCATCTTGTGAGAGTCAACCAATCCAATTCATATTAGTCTTACTTCATAATTTCTCCTATGATTATAATCGACTATAAACTTTTAGAATAATAAGATTATTCATGGATTAAACATTCTACTGTATAACACAAAAAGTATTGGTGTGATGATCATATCTCAATATATCAAAACAATATAATAGTTGCTGTCTCAATTTTCTAATATCCAAACAATAAATTCAAATCAAAATCCCATTTATAGAATAATGAAGTCCTATAGTTAAATTGTGACCAGTCATACTTAGGTTAAAAAGAGGAATTTATTAATGTGTTTGGCTAAATTTAATTTGTGTGAGTTTTGCGAATACTATCAACTCTATATCTGATTTTACTCTAAGTACAGTTAAATAT